GGCCCGAAACATCAGCCTTCCTGCTCCTCTGATGCTGCTTGGCCTGCGTGTTCATCCAGCTCTGCACCTTATTATCTCGGATTCTCCAGCATCTGCAGTTCCTACTATCTCTATGCACATCCAGCCACTTTGAGTGGGCATCCACAATGACTAAGTACATTTGTGGGCTCAAAGGACCTGCAATGTTGAAGTGTAACTAAATGCACGGTTTATCCAGCCATTCCCACAAATGTGGAGGGGCTGCTGGCAGTAATTTGTCCTTGTTGGCACCCTGTGCCCTGCCCCACCAACATGGCTGGGTCTGCATCCAGTCCTGGCCATAGGACATAATTTCTCACCAATATATTCATTTTAGAAACCCCTGGATGACCCCGAGGAGTTCAGGTAGTTATTTGGCGGTGACCTTTGCTTGGGACAATCATTCTTGCTCCCCATAATCATATGCTGTCCTCCACAGTGATCTGTTCTTTCCAGATCCAAAAACATTTCAATTCTGGTTGTAATGGCCCATTGGTTTCCCCTATCACCACCAGCAATTTCAGTTTTGCCATCTTTCTGCATCCAAAGTCTGACTTTGTCAGCTGTGACTGGAAGTGTGTCCAGAAAATTTAAAACCATTATGGAGTCTCCCAGTGGAAGCATGACCAGTAGTGTATCTGCCAGCAGGAGGCAGCTTAATGCATCCATATTTGCTACTCAGCCTCCTAGACTGTGCTCCAACATATAATTATACACACTTAGTAATCCCCTGCTACGTCCAGTTAGAGGACAAGGCTGTGCCGTCCATGGCTGAATTCAGCAGTGGGCTCTCATACTGTCTGTTATTATTACAAATTTACTTCTGTAAAAATATTGATGGAACTTTGACTCCAAATATGACTGCCAAACCTTCATAATTCCCACAGTGTGGAAACAGGCCATTTGGCCCAACAAGTCCACGCCAACCCTCTGAAAAGCATCCACCCAGACCCACCCCCCTACCCTATCCTTGTAACCCTGTATTTCCCATTGCAAATGCACCTAACCAACACATCCTGAACGATTTAGCACAGCCAATCCGCCTAACTTGCACATCTTTGGACTGTGGAGGAAACTGGAGCACCCAGCAGAAACCCATGCAGACACAGGGAGAACTTGCAAACTCAACACGGACAGGCACCTGAGGTTGGAATCATATCAGGGTCCTGGTGCTGAGAGGCAGCAGTGCTAACCACTGAGCAACCATGCTGCCCCATATCCCATCTTTATCTGGGCATATTTGTGTTCTGCATTACCAAAGTCCTGGATACATACACTATTTGGCAAACTAATGAGCTAATACTACTCCAATACCATACTGAGAGGCATCTCATGTCAATACAAGATCTCACTTGGGATGACAGTGTGCCAAAACCTCAAAGGATGATGGCTGTTTCTTCATTTCCCTGAAAGCTACAGCTTGGCTATGTGACTATTTCTAAGAGTGACCCTTTTTAAGAGTTGATGCAGAGGTGCCAGGATGGAGCCAAGGTTATTAACAAACCTTCTGTAATAATTTACCAGCCTAAAGAAAGACCTAAGCTCTGGTATAGACGTGACACCTTTGAATGCCCTCCCTTCATCTTCCAAGAGGTGTAACCTGGTCTTGTCAACTCTGTAGCTCAAGGAGGTCACATAGGGTGCCTGGAAAACATTTTTCCCTTCTAAGGCATATGCCCGCCTGGGAGAAATGTCTAAGAACTATGTCCAAGTCCTCCAAGTGCTCCTGTTGGTGTTCCCTGTTATTAGCACATCGTCTTGTAAAATGTTCTCCATCATCCACTAAAAAAATTGCACAGGTTGATAATACTGCAAATGGCAGTCTCATAATTAGTACAAACCTTTGAGTATTAATTGTAGCATACCTCTGGGATTCCTCATTTGCATGTACACATGGCTCACATCCAGCTTTGAGAGAGAGCATGCCCCCACCACCACCAGCATTGCTTAGAAATCCTCTATGCGAGGGATTGGGTATTTATTCAGCTGCAAAAATTCATTTACCATTTGTTTAAAATCCCCACAAAGGCAAACCGACTCACTGGGCTTCACAGTCAGTATGCTTGGTGGTGCCCTTTCCACAAAGTGGACAGGTTTAACAATTCCTTTGCTTTCTAACCTCCTGATTTCTGCCTCTACTTTTGCCAGCAAGGCAAATGGCACTGGGCAGCCCTTGCAGAATTGCTTCTTGGTCAACATGCAAGGTGGCCTTGGCTCCTTCGATACTCTCTAGACCTTCCTCAAACTTCCAGGTATTTTAGTTAGGACTTCACTTAGGCAGCTATTTTCTAATCAAAAAGTGTTCAGCCAATTTAGGTGAATCTTTCTCAAGAAATTTCACCCCATAAAGCTTTGGCCAGAGTCTTTTCCTACAATCAGTGGCAACTGAACCAGCTGCTTCTCATAGGAGACCAGAATCATAGTTGTACCCTCGGCTGTAGAGAATCCCCAGTATAGGTTCTGAGTCTTGCCAAGGTCTTGTGCAAACTTAAGTGTCAGAGTCCACAGCAAAATATGTTAAAGAGTGGTTCTGCAGTCACTAATTCAGCCATGCTGGTATCAACCGCCATTAGAACCGGGTGACAATTGGACTGGATGTTTATTTTGATTGGTTCTGATTTGGATGTTGCTGAGCAATTTAACTGTTCCAAAACAGAAGTAGGTGGACTTTCCAGAATGTACACACTCCTGGATATCAGTCTATGTTTCAGAGATAGTAGGAACTGCAGATGCTGGAGAATCTGAGATAACAAGGTTTAGAGCTGGATGAACACAGAACCTTCAGAAGATCTAGGCCCAAAACATCAGCCTTCCTGCTCCTCTGATGCTGCTTGGCCTGCTGTGTTCATCCAGCTCCACACCTTGTTAAATCAAGGTATGTGTTCTCTTACTCAATTTAGATCCAGAGGGACTCTTTTGCTGTCTCAAGTCCATACACTGGCAGCAACTACAATGGTTGCCAGCCTGAACCCTGAAGAAAATTTTAACTCTTTGGCCAACATTTGGCTTTGTTTGGGGTTTTGTTGTTGGCTGACCTAGGGGCCCTCTTTTCAGGGTATCTTCTGAGTGAGACTATGCAACTGCCTTCAACCAAGCTCAGTCAGACTGGCAAGAGTTTCCACTTCCATCAGAATGCCTTGCAACTCATATGTTTCACTTGCCATATTTTTCAATGATAAAGCCAGTTGTACTGCCTGTTTGAAGTCCAGTTGACCTTCAGCAAGCAGGCACTTTTGCATGGCTACAACATTAATCCCGCATATCAAAGTCTCTCAGAATCTCTTTAAGGGTTAAACCAAAGTCACGTGTATCTACCAGTCATCTTAACCAAGTGTAAAGTCTTTTTAAGGATTCCCCTGGTTCTTGAATTGCCAAGCAAAACCGACAGATTATCAAAATTAGAGGCAGCTTGGGTCATAATATTCCTTAACCAAGTCCATTCACTCAAAAGATTTTAGTATCTGGCACATCAGGGAAAGTCAGGCTCCTAATAAGCAGAAAAGCAATGGGTCCACAAGCTGTCAGGAGAATTACTCCTTGCTTTTCATCTGCATCAATGTCATTTGCCCAGAAAAAAAAATAATGTATTCTTTCTACATACTGGGCCAGTCTTCAAAGGCAGGATCAAACAAATCAAACTTCCCAAATAATGGCATGATACCTTAAATGCTTATCACAAGTTAAAGACAACTGTTATGAACAAATTTCTTCAAGCATATGCTTTACTCCTGTTGCCAGTGAAACAACTCCTCAAGAGGACAGTATCCCATCACAAGTCACCCTTTACTTACATGTAGAAAGCCATTGACTCTGATCCAGCTCCCTCAAGAGCCAGCTCTCAATGTAAACAGGATATCTAGCACCCCTGTTTTTATTTGTCAACCAGGGCTCCCTGATTACACCAGATTAACAGCCCCATTCAGGGAATGTATATTCTATGAGTTCCACCTGGCTGACCTCATTACAATCACTAGATGTTTCACTTTCAATAGCTAGATTGAACTCAATCATATTATGATCAATGTTTGATCATGCTATCCCGGATACACTCCAGAAATTGACTTTCTTTCTCACCAGTAGATAATCTCCTAATCTGTGTGAAAATTAAAAACCCCCATTCTTACTTGTCTCATTTCTGTGTTTATACAATCTAGCACTTCAGAGATGATAGAAGGGAGTCTGTGCACAACACCTACCACAATCTTAGATCCTTTATTGTTCTTCAGTTCCCTGAATGTTTCCCCGACATTGTATCCTCCCTCACCATTAAAGTAATTTTGTTTATCACCGGTAAGGCTAGTCCACTTCCTCTGCCATTTATTCTGTCTATCCTATCAAGCAAGTTCCCACTACAACCAACCTGCAGCCATGTGTCAGTAAGAGCCACTATATCAAAAACTTGAATTTGAATTTGTACCTACAGATTATTGGTGCAAGATGATGGCAGTGTAGGATGCTCCGGCTGGAGCTTAGCCACTCCGCCCATTCTTCTTTTCTTCGCCTTTCTTCCTCTCAGTGCTTTCTTTTGCCTCTTCTTCTTATTTTCTCTTCAATTCCCAGCTTCCAGCGACAATTCCCGGCCTACGGTGAGCACCAAGTCTCAGACTTCGGCGGGTGATAACTCCCAGCCTCTGGCAACAATTCCTGGCCTCCTCTGAAGCAGCAGCCCTCTGTAGCAGCCTCCTGGCATGATGTCCTCTGGGCCTGGCTCAGTGACATCCCACAGTGGCCTTCCAGCATGACATGATGACCTCCTGATCTCCCGCAGGGGTCTCCCAGCATGGCGTGGCAACATCCTGCAGCGGCCTCCTCATGTAGGAGCCTCCCAGCATGGCGTGGCAACCTTCTGGCCTCCCGGCCTGGCATATCGCTAATGTGGTGTGGAACCAGGGCTTGGAGCGGACTGGAAGCTAGCTGCCAGCATGGTCTACTGTACTGAACTTTTACTTCTGTAATGCTGGACATTTTATTTCTGTATTGTCTAAGTCTTGTAACTAAAGAAGTTGTGCCTAGGTACTTTTGTATCTAAATCGGTGCTGTAATTGGTGATGTATAAATTTTTCACTATACTCATTGAGTATATGTGACAATAAAAGGCTATTCTATTTTATTATTAATTTATTCTTTATCCTCCATGCATTTGTATTTGAAACTCTTATTTGGGCCATACACTACAACCCGTCCTTCCACACTTGTTAATTACTTCTTTCTTCCAGTTTAACCAATATACTTCTTATTGTCAAAGAGTCATACACACAGAAACAGGACCTTTGGCTTACCATGTCTACAATGACCAACACGCATCAAACAATACCAATCCCATTTAACCGCACTTGGTCCATAGCCTACTATACCCCAAAATTTTAAGTACTCATCCAGATACTTCTTAAATGTTACGACAACACTCGCCTCTATCACTCTCTCAGTTCAATTTATCCTTTGGGTGCAAAAACATTTTCTCAGACCTCCTCTAAACGTCTTGCTCCTCACCTTAATCTTATGCCCTCTGGTCTTCGACACATCTGCTGTGGGAAACAGATCCTCACAATCTATTCTGTCTGTGGCTCTCATAACTTTGTATACTGGACACTGTATTCCATCCATGGACTCACCAATAGTTTTATAACTTATAGTTTTGCCATTCCTAAACTGGGATTCCTGACTTTTCTTTACTTTTCATGTTACTTGATTTTGAAACTGTATTTACTGCCCCTGAGCCCTTCCCCACATTTTCTAGTTTAAACTCCTGTCACCACGCTTTTTAGCCTTTCCGCTCGGACATTGGTCCCAGATCAGTTCAGGTGGAGCCCGTCTTAACAGTACTAAGGAACATAGGTTTAAGGTAAAAGGGGGCAAGTTTAAAGGGGATATGAGACGCAAGTTTTTTTATGCAGAGGGTGGTAAGTGTTTGGAATGCACTGCCACAGGAGATGGTGGTGGATACAATACCAACATTTAAAAAGCATTTGATGGAAATATGAATAGGCACGGAATAAAGGGATATGGACAGTGTAAACACTAAAGGCCAGCACAATCTTGATGGGCTGAAGGGCCTGTTCCTGTGCTGTGCAGTGCAGTTCTTTATTCTTTGTATAGTTCCTGTCCCAATACTGGCGCCAACGCCCCACAAAATGGAATCTATATTTCCCCATCACTCCTTTATCCACATATTTACTTCACTAATTTTCTTATTATCGCTTTACCAATCCCTGATGATTCAATCCACCAAGCCTATGCCAGCTATCAATGCAGCAATCCTTCCAGTCCCATTCCCCTCCTTTATTTTCCCCAAATACCTGTCTAACTTCCTCTTAAAATAATTGATTGCCTCCACTTTCATCTGTATGAGCAGTGTCTTTTTATTTTTGTGCCTTTAAAAACTGCAGACTGCAATGAGAAAGATTGTGTTTAAAAACAAGGGTTTACCAGATGGCTGAATAATTTCAGAGTAAGGAATTTAGAGAAATTTCTTCATCAAGAGGGTGGTGTGCCTGTGGAATTCTCTGCCACAGAAAGAGGTTGAGGCCAAAACATTGAATGTTTTCAAGAAGGAACTAGATATATTTCTTAGGGCTAAAGTGGACATGGGGAGGAAACGAGAACAGGGTACTGAGTTGCGTGATCAGTAGGATCATACTGAATGGCAGAACAGGTTCAAAGGGCTGAGTGGCCCAATCCTGCTCCTCTAACCTATGTTTAACTCTGTTTTTGTGGCTGTGGGTTCCTGCAATGTATAAACAATGAGGAATGATTGAGTCCTAACAAGTGAAGTTAATTTGTTCTCAGGTAACTGAGCAGGTTGAAACTAGAAACAAGTTACAGAGACAAATACACAAACAGAAAGAGAGAAAGATAGAAGCATGTACAGATGTTCTCCCCAGCAGAAAGTGTCTGTCCCTTCTATGAAAAAACTTGTTTAAACATGAAGAAAACCAGTTATCTTTCCTATAGCAGTTGCTGTGAGTTGTGACCTTTGAATTGATAAATTAAACATTTTCCATGTGAATCAGTCACTCTGTACCTCTTAAAAACCCAGGTAAGCTTCCAGAGAAAGGCCACTGAACACCAAGGGCCTGGCTAGCCAAAGAAGGATCAGCTTAACATCAGAACTGGAAAGACAGCTGAATTGTTTTTATTGTTAATTAAAGCAAATAAGTCAAGCAAATTAAAGTATTGTGCATACCTTAAAAAAATGTTAACATTTGGTACAACTCCAGGAATAGCATGTTCAAATTAACACGTGTTACGCCAGTGGATCATATCACACTGCCTTAGTGACTTGAGATTTACTGTCCACAATCACTTGTTGCATTTGCAAGCTGTGTTTGTGCAGTTCATCCTTGCTGTATTCCTTGGCCAAAATCCAAAATCTGCATCCTTCAGTTCTTGCCAATTGGAACAGATTTCCTTTGCCTACCTGTTGGTAAAAATGTTGTAATCTTGTACATCTCTATTAAATCATAGAATCCCTACAGTGTGGAAACAGGCCCTTTGACCCAACAAGTCCACACTGACCCTTGGAGCATCCCACCCAGACCCATCCCCCTATAACCCACCTAATCTACAGACCCCTGAACACTACAGGCAATTTAGCATAGCCAATCCACCCTAACCTGCACATTGTTAGACTGTGGGAAGAAACTGGAGCACCTGGAGGAAACCCACACAGACACAGGGAGAATGTGCAAACTCCACACAGACAGTCACCTGAGGGTGGAATTGAACCCAGGGCCCTGGTGCTGTGATGCAGCAGTGCTAACTACTGACCCACTGTGCCATCCATTTTTTTTTAAGTAATGTTGCTTAACATTAACCTCTATTCTATGATTCTATGATTCTAAATGCCCTCACAACTCCCTTTGCTCCAAGGAGAATAATTCCTGAATTCCCATTCTAGTAAGTCCTCTCTGCACCCTCTCAAAAACCTTCATGTTCTAAAAGTGTACAATTTAAATGTATTAAATTGATATTATGGATCAACCATTCCTGATAGGAATTATTGAAATAGCAAAAATTAAAAGCTGACAGTTTCTGTACCGGACAGTCTAATGCCAGTTTAATGTCCAGATAATAAAGTGGAAATTTATTACACTGTTTTCTCTTCTTGCTTTTGCTTTTGGAAGTTATACAAACTGATTGAAAAGAGTTCAGTCTTCATCTTGACTCAACTCTATACGATATTTAATATCACAAAATTTCAGATTTGATGAGATTGTAGAAGGACAAAATATCCCAACTGAACTAAAAATTGTCAAGGTTTTCACATTTCTGAAAAAAAAAAGTGCAATACACTAGATGTAAAGAAGAGGTGACATTTTAGGTCAGACAATGCATGTTAGCTGTGAGACCTTGTTTAGAAACTGTGCTTTGGTTTGAAGTCAGAGAGGTTTTGTTTCTAAAGTAGGAATTCCCAAAACACCACATTGACTGACTGTCTATAAATTGTCTGCCTTTTGAACAAAATAGAATGTATCTGCAAAAGAAATTTACCCCACAGAGTGTGTGTGTGTGTCAGTATGTCTTTCACATCAAAGCGAGCACTTTCACGTCCTCAGAAACCCCATCCTGCAATTTTAGCTAAGTCAGCAATAGCCAGAAAAGCACATTTGTATGGAACTGGGCAGAAAGTCAGAACGGCTGGCATTCTATGAGCATAGTGAAGAATGGGAAATTGAGTGGAAGCGAAGGAGAATGCCATTTTTCCAAGAAGGAGGAATTCTGCCTTCAGCTTCATTCTCTAGCAAAGTGTAAAATGGAGCACAATGTCATCCACTCTAATTCTTCACAACATTGGATTTTCACATTGGCAGAAAGTTCTTTCATATTTAA